TCGAAAATTTTCTTATGTAACCAATATTAATATTGACTATACTAGATTCAAAACAAATGGCGGAAAAAATTTGAAATCTACACTAAAAAATTTAAATCTTTAGACCCGCTTCAGGGATTTTTCCATAAATCGTTTATTATGATTTTATCGCCTATATCCGTTACTTTACGGACACACCGTATAGCGTAGAGACTGCCAACTTGTTGGCAGCATGAGCTAATGCATTCCAGAGCATTTGTTCTATAGTGTAGAGCCTGCCAACTTGTTGGCAGCATGAGCTACTACATTTCGAAGCCTATAACTGCCTTTATAGGCTGCCAACTTGTTGGCAGCATGAGCTATTGGACACCAAAGCTTCTGTTCTATAGCGTAGAGTCTGCCAACTTGTTGGCAGCATGAGCTATTGCATACCAGAGCTTTTGTTCTATATAGCATAGAGCCTGTCAACTTGTTGGCAGCATGAGCTACTACATCTGGAACCCTGTAACTTCACTTATAGACTGCCAACTTGTTAGCAGCATGAGCTACTAAATGTGATAGCTTATAACTTAACCTCTTTTCATAACTAAAATTGTTAGTTGTAACACTAGAACACCTGCAACTAGAAGGAATTAGAAAGTTCCGAGATCTAAGTTCTGGGAACTAGAAATATTAGAAACTTAGTCTAGTGTTTCTAGCGCTATCTAGTGCTAATTAGCACAACCTAATACTGTCACTAAAACTAACATCTAGTGTTAGTTCATAAAAGATATATAACAACCTGGCGCGGATTTACAAGTTAAACTAGAACTAACCCTAGACCTAGAACTAGAAAGTTTCGGGTTTAGTAGCCGTGCGTCTTCAGACTCACTACTTCTTTCTGGTCTAGTGTTAGTTCTAGTTTTAGTTCATTAAAAGTATATAACTTATATAATTTACAAGTGATATAAACTTATACAAATTTAATTTTAAAATATTAATTTCTGTTGATTAGTTTAGAAGAGATGCATAAAATAGAATTAAAAGCTTACCAAGATGATTGTGAAAAATGGAGAGAAGAAGTTTTATGTTTAAAGACGTTTGTATCAAAGTTTCAAGGAAGTACATCAGAAAAAAGTGCAGATTTACAAAAATTAATTAAAGATAAAGATAATAGAATTCATGAATTAACAGTTCATTTACGACAATTAAAAGTAAAATGAAATAAATTTGATAAAAATTATTTAAATATTCTAATAAATACTTATATTTTAGATAGCAGCAAGAAAAAAAGAAAATAACGAAACACCCCGTCTTCAAGAAGAAGAAAACGCAAAAAAAGAAATCCAAAAAGAACTAGAAGTTGTAAAGAAAAAGTGTGAAAATTTATTAACAAAAGAAAAAAATTATCGAGAAGAAATAAGAAATTTAAAAAGTCAATTAATGAAACGACCGATCTCCTCATCATTATCATCGCAAAAATCGGATATAAAAGATCAGCTTTATAAAAAAATTACATCCCTTGAAAACGAAAATTTAGAATTAAAAGAAAACCTTCGACAGCAATTTCAAATCAACGAAACTCATCGTATAAAAGTTGCCGAAGATTTCGATAAATGGAACAAGCAAAAACAGTTTCAACAAACGGCCGATAAATTAAAAATCAAACTAAAAGAGAAATCGGAAGAATGCGAAAAATTACAACAAACCTCGGCCGGTTATCGAATATTAATCGAAAAATTAGAACGGGAAAAACACGCGTTAGAAATGAAAATAAAAAATTTCAAAACAACTTCAGAAACTACCAACAAAAACGAGTTATTACAGATTGAAAATGCGAGACTTTCGGCGGAAATCGAAGCGGTTAATGCTAAATATGAGATGGCTCAACATCATTCGGGCGGGTTAGGTGCTGTTATGTTGCAGGAGAAATTGGAGGCGCAAGAAAGAAAGATTGCTATTTTGGAATTAGCCGGAAAGGTAAGATTTTTTTAATTTTAAATTTAAAAGTTGTTCCAACGCTATATTCGTTCCATTTCAATCCAAACCCCATTAGCCGGGGCCAAGGTGATTCCCTTCGTTTCCATCTTTAACGGCAATATCGTTTTTTCACTTAATTTGAATTTAAAACTTTTTAATAAAACGACTAACGCTAGTTTTGATTGAACAGTTGCAAATTTCATACCTAAAACAAAATTAATATTAATTAATTTGTAATTACTAATTACACTTATTCCCCGATTTACACGGAAGATAACTGTGTAAACTGAAATCTTGGATTTTGTTAAGTAAAATCGTGTACAACAAATAACCCAAAATGTGTATGATGGTGTCATTTATTAAATAAACAGTAAGTAACTTAAAAAAATTGTTAGCAGCCCTACATCTGGAACCCTGTAACTTTACTTATAAACTGCCAACTTGTTGGCAGCATGACCTATTGCATTCCAGAGCTTCTGTTCTATAGTGTAGAGCCTGCCAACTTGTTGGCAGCATGAGCTACACATCTGGAACCCTGTAATTTCGCTTATAGGCTGCCAACTTGTTGGCAGCATGAGCTACTACATCTGGAATCCTGTAATTTCGCTTATAAGCTGCCAACTTGTTGGCAGCATGAGCTATTGCATTCCATAGCTTCTGTTCTATAGCGTAAAGTCTGCCAACTTGTTGGCAGCATGAGCTCCTACATCTGGAATCCTGTAATTTCGCTTATAGGCTGCCAACTTGTTGGCAGTATGAGCTATTGCATTCCAGAGCTTCTGTTCTATAGTGTAGAGCCTGCCAACTTGTTGGCAGCATAAGCTACGCATCTGGAACCCTGTAATTTCGCTTATAGGCTGCCAACTTGTTGGCAGCATGAGCTATTAAGTACCAGATCTTCTGTTCTATAGCGTAGAGCCTGCCAACTTGTTGGCAGCATGAGCTACTACATCTGGAATCCTGTAATTTCGCTTATAGGCGCCAACTTGTTGGCAGCATGAGCTATTGCATTCCATAGCTTCTGTTCTATAGCATAAAGCCTGCCAACTTGTTGGCAGCATGAGCTCCTACATCTGGAATCCTNTTTTTTAATTTAAAAGTTGTTCCAACGCTATATTCGTTCCATTTCAATCCAAACCCCATTAGCCGGGGCCAAGGTGATTCCCTTCGTTTCCATCTTTAACGGCAATATCGTTTTTTCACTTAATTTGAATTTAAAACTTTTTAATAAAACGACTAACGCTAGTTTTGATTGAACAGTTGCAAATTTCATACCTAAAACAAAATTAATATTAATTAATTTGTAATTACTAATTAGATTTATCCCCAATTTACACGAAAGATAACCGTGTGTAAATTGAAACCTTGGATTTTGCTAAGTAAAATCGTGTAAAGCCAACAAACCCAAAATGTGTATGATGGTAACTTAAACAAATTGTTGGCAGCATGAGCTACTACATCTAGAACCCTGTAACTTCCTTTATTGGCTGCCAACATGTCGGCAGCATGAGCTATTGCATTCCAGAGTTTCTGTTCTACAACATAGAGACTGCCAACTTGTTGGCAGCATGAGCTACTACAACTGGAACTCTGTAATTTCTCTTATAGGCTGCCAACTTGTTGGCAGCATGAGCTATTGCATTCCAGAGCTTCTGTTCTATAACGTAGAGACTACCAGCTTGTTGGCAGCATGAGATATTGCATACCAGATCTTCTGTTGTATAGCGTAGAGCCTCCTACATTGTTGACAGCATGAGCTACTACATCTAGAACCCTGTAACTTCATTTATAGACTGCCAACTTGTTGGCAGCATGAGCTATTGCATTCCAGAGCTTCTGTTCTATAGCGTAGAGACTGCCAACTTGTTGGCAGCATGAGCTACTACATCTGGAAGCCTGTAACTTCCTTTATTGGCTGCCAACATGTCGGCTGCATGAGCTATTGCATTCCAGAGTTTCTGTTCTATAACATAGAGACTGCCAACTTGTTGGCAGCATGAGCTATTGCATACCAGATCTTCTGTTGTATAGCGTAGAGCCTGCCAACTTGTTGGCAGCATGGGCTACTACATCTAGAACCCTGTAATTTTGCTTATAAGCTGCCAACTTGTTGGCAGCATGAGCTATTGCATACCAGATCTTCTGTTCTATAGCGTAGAGACTGCCAACTTGTTGCTCAGCATGAGCTACTACAACTGGAACTCTGTAATTTCGCTTGAGTATGAGCTATTGCATTCCAAAGCTTCTTTTTTATAGCGTAGAGTCTGCCAACTTGTTGGGAGCATGAGCTATTGGATACTAGAACTTGTATTCTATAGCGTAGAGTCTGCCAACTTGTTGGCAGCATGAGCTATTGGATACCAGAGCTTCTGTTCTACAGTGTAGAGCCTGCCAACTTGTTGGCAGCATGAGCTATTGCATACCAGAGCTTCTGTTCTATAGTGTAGAGCCTGCCAACTTGTTGGCAGCATGAGCTACTACATCTAGAACCCTGTAACTTCCTTTATTGGCTGCCAACATGTCGGCAGCATGAGCTATTGCATTCCAGAGTTTCTGTTCTACAACATGGAGACTGCCAACTTGTTGGCAGCAGGAGCTACTACAACTGGAACTCTGTAATTTCTCTTATAGGCTGCCAACTTGTTGGCAGCATGAGCTATTGCATTCCAGAGCTTCTGTTCTATAACGTAGAGACTACCAGCTTGTTGGTAGCATGAGCTATTGCATACCAGATCTTCTGTTGTATAGCGTAGAGCCTCCCACATTGTTGACAGCATGAGCTACTACATCTGGAACTCTATAACTTCACTTATACTCTGTAATACTTCTTACTGTAATTCAAAACATAATAGCTGCTTTTGATATGCAACGTTACACGCAAGTAGCCTTCTGCAAATTTTAGCAAAGCTTTTGATTCTCTAGACTCCAGACCATAATATTCTCTTGAAAAAAATAGAAAAATTCGGTATAAAAGAAAACGGAAAAAAACTAATCGATTCTTATCTTCATGATAGACAGCAACAACTTCATTGCAATCAAATATCTAATTGGAAGAAGGTTGAAATGTGAGTACCACAGGGTTCCGTGCTGGGCGCCCATTTATTCTTATTGTATATCAATGTCTTGCTTCAAAATATACCGGCGGACTTTATGTGTCTATACGCTGACACCTCTTTTATAAACACTTCAAAGAGTTTTCAGGAAACAAAAGACTAAAAAAATATTAGATACAGCCAACAAATCAGTTCAAATCGAATTATTTACACTTAAACAGGGAAAAATCTACCTTTTATACGAGAAAAACACATAACATTATCATCGTAACATTATCTGACACTCTTTCTTGGGATAATCACATAAAACGGTTCACTGTATTGCTTGCGAGTGGCATCAAAAATATTGCATGGAGAAGAACTAAGAAATGTATATTTTGCATACTTTCATGGTATATATGTATATGGAATGCTCACATGGGGTGCACCAAGAGAGTCCGAAGAGATTTATAAATGCAAAAAAAGGCAATAAGAATTTTGAAACAACTAGGATACAGGGAAAACTTCAATTAAGTTATATAATGCTTTACCATTGAAGTTAAGGAAACTGTAGGGCAAAATATTTCAAAGGGAAATGAAGAGAATGTTAATAGAAAATGAACTTTATACACTTGAGGAATCTAATCTTAAGACAGCTAAACCAAAATGTTTCTAGTTCTAGGTCTAGTGTTAGTTCATAAAAGATATATAACAACCTGGTGCGGAATTACAAGTAAAACTAGAACTAAAGAAAAAGCTAAAACTAGAATTACAAGTAATTAGTTCCAGTTTTATTACTTCATTAAAAGTATATAGAAGAAGAACTAAACCTGAATATGTCAGGTTTAGAAATTTCTTCTAAGCATCCATCAGAGTAAGAGATTCATGATTCTCCATTTATTCTAAGATAAACCTCAAAGTTTGCTTAATGTAAGCAGTGAGATAAGGAAGTTGTATTCTTCGGTAAAAAAACAAGCTTTACATTTTTGTGTTATAAATCTGGAGCATTATCAATTAATAGAAGAGCAATCCCTTATTTGTTAAATAATTTTTGACATCAAGAACAAAGAAGTTATAAAACCATTCATTAAAAGCTATGACAGTGATCCATGCTTTTTTATTAGCCATCCAATAGACGGGAAGGTTTTTGATGTTTATTCCTTCATCATATAATCGCCTGAAGCATTGCAACAGAAAAGAACTGTTATACGATTTTTCGCAACTTTTTGACCACTAGCTGATTTGTGAGCTTTGGCTATGAAGTGTAGAAGTTAGCGGCAATGATTTCAGCAAATTTTTTAGGATATTGTTGTGCTGCAACCTTTTAATCTCAGATTATTTATAGAATGTCTTTGTTTAAATCTCTCCAACCACCCATGGCTTGCGCAAAAATAAATCTCTTCACCGGATGAAATCGACGGTGACTGATAAATCTTTAAAGCTTTATTTGTAACAAATAGCATTGGTGTCGATCGGGATTCGCTTTTGAGTTTGGTTCTATCCATATCATTAATGCTTTTTCCATATTTTCCATTGTAACATCTTTAAACATACCAAATCGTACTCATGGTGCCGCAGGTTCTAGCTGCTACACTTTTTCTGATGGAGTCTTTATTTTTTCTTACTGTCCTTTTTGGATTCATTCATGGAGTCAAATTTTGCAACATCCATTTACTCTTTCTCTATTACAAACACGATCTAATATTTGAATAGACCTAGAACTAGAATCATTCGGGTTTAGCCGTCTTGAGAGACGTGCGGCTAAACNGGAACCCAGTAATTTCGCTTATAGGCTGCCAACTTGTTGGCAGCATGAGCTACTACATCTGGAATCCTGTAATTTCGCTTATAGGCTGCCAACTTGTTGGCAGCATGAGCTATTGCATTCCAGATCTTCTGTTCTATAGCGTAAAGCATGCCAACTTGTTGGCAGCATGAGCTCCTACATCTGGAATACTGTAATTTCGCTTACAGGCTGCTAACTTGTTGGCAGCATGAGCTACTGCATTCCCAGAGCTTCTGTTCTATAGCGTAAAGCCTGCCAACTTGTTGGCAGCATGAGCTACTACATCTGGAACCCTGTAACTTCGCTTATACTCTGTAATACTTCTTACTGTAATTGAAAACATAATAGCTGCTTTTGATATGCAAAGTTACACGCAAGATGTGGTTGTGATTTTAGCAAAACTTTTGATTCTGTAGACCATAATATTCTTTTGAAGAAAATAGAAAAATTCGGTATAAAAGAAAAGGAAAAAAAAACGAATCGGTTCTTATCTTCATGATAAACAGCAACAACTTTATTGCAATCAAATATCTAATTGGAAGAAGGTTGAAATGGGAGTACCATAGGGTTTCATGCTCGGTCCCATTTTATTCTTATTGTATATCAATGACTTGCCTCAAAATATACAGGATTTTCAGGATCTGGATCAAAAGACTAAAAAAACATTAGATACAGCCAACAAATCTGTTCAAATCGAATTATTTACACTTAAACGGGAAAAAACTCTACCTTTTATATGAGAAAAACACAAGAGGTAAAAAATCGAACGACTACGTATATTGCCTGGAGAAGAACTAATAAATGTGTATTTTGCGTACTTTCATGGTATGGCAGTATACAGTATACTCAGTAGTAGTAATAGGGTGCGTTAGGAGAGTCCGAAGAGATTTTAAAAATGCAAAATGGCAATAAAAATTTTGAAGCAGCTAGGATACAGGGAAAGCTTCAATCAAGTTATACAGTGTGTCCGTAAAGTAACGGATATAGGCGATAAAATCATTACAAACGGTTTATGAAAAAATCCCTGAAACGGGTCTAAAGATTTTTTTTTTTAAATACCCCATTTTTATTGCGGAATATGAAAGAAGATATTGTCAAAGTACCCTTAAAATTCACTAAAGAATCACCCCTTGAAGTTTATTGCAGTCATTCAGATACACCCTGTAGATAAGTTGAGTTAAATCATCATATTTTTGGTCAAGGTATTTGTGGTCTTGCGTTGTACACGTCATTTCCGGACACCGCTGTAGAAGAAAAACTAGAAATATTCAGGTTTAAAAATCAGATCCATCAGAAGTGATTCATCATTCTCTATTTTATTCTAAGATAAACCTCAAAGTTTGTTTGATGTAAGCAATAAGGAAGTTGTATTCTCGAAAAAAAAACAACCTTTTCATTTTCATCTGGAACATTATCAATTAATAGAAGAGCCTTAAACGGCAATCCTTTATTTGTTAAATAATTTTTGACATCAGGAACAAAGAAGTTATTGAACCATTCATTAAAAGCTATGGCAGTGACCCATGCTTTTTTATTACCCATCCAATAGACGGGAAGATTTTTGATGTTTATTCCTTCATCATATAATCGCCTGAAGCATTGCAACAGAAAAGAACTGTTGTACGACTTTTCACCACTTTATTACAGAGATATTATCTCAGATTATGAAAAGAATGTCTTTGTTTAAATCTCTCGAACCATCCATGGATTGGTATCGATCGGGATTCACTTTTGAGTTTGGTTCTATCCATATCATTAATGTTTTTTCCATATTTTCCATTGTAACATCTTTAAACATACGAAATCATACTCATGGTGCCGCAGGTTCTAGCTGCTACATTTTTTTTTATGGAGCCTTCATTTTTGTCCTTAATTGTCCTCATTGTAGCTTCATTCATGGAGTCAAATTTTGCAACATCCATTTACTCTTTCTCTATTACATACACGATCTAATATTTGAATAGACCTAGAACTAGAATCATTCGGGTTTAGCCGTCTTGAGAGACGTGCGGCTAAATCCGAATGTTTCTAGTTCTCGGTCTAGGGTTAGTTCTAGTTTTACACTAGCACTAACGCAAGACCTAGAACTAAAACGTCATAATTGCAAGTATGCAACCAAATACGCAAATCGCGTATTGCGCTACCTATACTGTGATATTGGTTGCATACTTGCAATGATGACGTCGTTACACCTGCAAGGATTCTTTCAAAAAGACGTTAGTTTTGAAGATATTTCAAGTGTTCCAGACTTTTTATTCACCCTGCATGTGTATATGCTGCCAACTTGTTGGCAGCATGAGCTACTACATTTAGAAGCTTGTAACTTCGTTCATAAGCTGCCAACTTGTTGGCAGCATGTGCTATTGCATACCAGAGCTTCTTTTTTATAGCGTAGAGTCTGCCAACTTGTTGGCAGCATGAGTTATTGGATACTAGAACTTGTATTCTATAGCGTAGAGTCTGCCAACTTGTTGGCAGCATGAGCTATTGGATACCAGAGCTTCTGTTCTATAGCATAGAGACTGCCAACTTGTTGGCAGCATGAGCTAATGCATTCCAGAGCATCTGTTCTATAGTGTAGAGCCTGCCAACTTGTTGGCAGCATGAGCTACTACATTTCGAAGCCTATAACTGCCTTTATAGACTGCCAACTTGTTGGCAGCATGAGCTAATGGACACCAAAGCTTCTGTTCTATAGCGTAGAGTCTGCCAATTTGTTGGCAGCATGAGCTATTGCATACCAGAGCTTTTGTTCTATATAGCATAGAGTCTGTCAACTTGTTGGCAGCATGAGCTACTACATCTGGAACCGCGTAACTTCACTTATAGACTGCCAACTTGTTGTTTTTGAGTTTTGAAATGTAATTTGGTTTGTTTAACGCGGAGTATTACAGAGTCGATGGAATGCAAATCTAAAACTGGCCGTTTTATGTTGTGCAGTTATATGAGTCAGATGGTATGATGCAGTCGGTGAACGTGTTTTTTCTAAAAATGTTAAAATCGAGACTTTATCTAAATTTTTGTTGATATTCAAGTCTAAAAAGTTTAATTGTCCATCATTTTCGTTATTAAAAATCCTTTAAAATGAGTCCAAACTCGACATATTTAACTTTAATATTAATGGAAATACACTTCCGGTTTGAAACGTCAATGTTGACATATTTGTCATCTTCATTAAAAAACCTTTAAAATGAGTCCAAAGATGGCGCACTTATCTCAAAGAACAAAAAAGTTAGAATAAAAAACATAAACCCTAAGTTGGCAACAATGAAGATAGCCATTTAATTTTTAAATATTAATACCAACCTTAATTTTTTATTTTTTTTTTTATTATATTTTTATTTTTGTGACAAATATTAAGACATTTTATAAAAATTGAGAATATGTCAAAACGACATTGACATTTCAAACCGGAAGTTGCTTATATCTCGAGTAATATTGGAATCAAACGCATCATGTTTGGGCTCATTGTAAAGGATTTTTCACGACGATTACAAATATGTCAAAATTGACGTTGACATTCTTAACCGGAAGTTGACCATAACTTCATTAATATTGAAGATAAATAGGTCGTGTTTGTACTCATTTTAAAGGATTTTTAATGAAGATTACAAATATGTCAAAATTGAGGTTGACATTTTAAACCTGGAGTTAGTTATGATATAATAGAAGTTTTATAACTGAAGTTAATCTAGTGTTAGTCACTTTTCCGCACTTTCTTTTTATTTTTAACGTGTTTTTTTTTGAGTAATTTCACATTGATCAAGAAAAAATCGTCGATGATGATTCTTGAATTCTTCCCAAGATTCTTAATATTTCTTTTGTTCAAAAAAGAGTAAGTTTTTAAACTTTAATTTTGTAAATTAGTAACTAATAATCTGATTCTGACTTTGATATATGATCTTGTATATACAGTGTGTCCCTGGATAGGTGAAACGAATCTTATAAAACGTAAAATTTTTTTTTCGATATTAATTGTCATTTTTTGAGGTTTGGCCCTTCTTGATTAAAGACTAATTTTGAACATATTTTCAAGTTTTAAGAAACAAGTGAGTGTTGACACTGAAGCGAAACCACCTGACAATTAATGTCGCAAAATTTTACATTTTATAAGAGTCGTTTCACCTATCCGGGGACATACTGTATGTAATCCTGTCTATTCTGAGAAGTTTTATATTTTTAGAGAGATGAAAACGAAAATTCCATTTTTTTCAACATTGTACATTTGTCGCTTAGTCAAGTGATGCATAACGCGGTTCAAATGTAACTAATGACAACAATAATGCAGACATGGACAAAAACCTGTCAAAATTTCATAGCATTCTAATAACTTTCCTAGTTCGGCCATATTTAAAAAACTAAAACGGCTAGATCCAAAAACTTTGTTGAAAAATGATGAGCTCTAAGATACGCAACTTTGCCCCCATTTAACCATGGTGGGGGTCGAATTTGAATTACCCTGTATATAATATACATAGATATTTTTGTTCAATTATCATTTAAAATCGTCATATAATTTATAACTTGTCAGTTAAGCTATTCGATAGTTATCTATCAAATAGGGTTTAGTCGGTTAAGCTGAATTTTGCCAAACTAACTTTTGATTTTTGAATGAGAGTTGAGTGGTAGCTTATAACTTAACCTCTTTGCATAACTAAAATTGTTAGTTCTAACACTAGAACACCTGCAACTAGAAGGAATTAGAAAGTTCCGGGATCTAAGTTCTGGGGACTAGAAATATTAGAAACTTAGTCTAGTGTTTCTAGCGCTATCTAGTGCTAATTAGCACAACCTAATACTGTCACTAAAACTAACATCTAGTGTTAGTTCATAAAAGATATATAACAACCTCGAATTTACAAGTAAAACTAGAACTAATTTTTATCACTGGAACTAACACAAGACCTAAAATTAGAATCATTTAGCATTTCAATTTGAAAACACTCCTCCGAATTAAAAAAAAATAGAATATAAACAGCTTTACTGATATGACATACATACGTACAAATTACCGGGATTCCCCTAAATGTATATATTTTACAACCCCGGGAATCCCCTGTTCTTTTCATCAGTGTACCAAAGCAAAAAAAAAATAAAAAATGACATCAAATCTTTGTGTAGGCGTATATAGAACGGAATATAGTATAAAACAAGTTCCGTGTAAATCGGGAATTAATTTATTTATATTACCTATACATTTTCTTGGTCCTTCTCCGAATGGTATATAAGAAAATTCTTTTATATTGTGTTTATTGGTGTTGTTGAACCTCTCAGGATTGAAAACGTCCGGTTCCGGGAAATAATCGGGGTCACGATGAAGGGCAAAGGTGGGAATCACTAAAGGCATTCCTTTCTTGATTATTGTTTTAGTTCCGGGTATTTGATAATCTTTGGTACATTTCCTACAATAGGCAGGTGCCGGTGGATATTTTCGCATCGATTCTAAAACAAAAATAAAATTCTTGTGTTGTAATAATACAGAATTTAGCACAAACTCTTAAAGTGAAAGTTGAATTTAACTGGGATAAATAATCTACGTCTAAATTTCGTGTCATTATCTTTTTATTAATCGTCTCAATTTAACGGATAATAAAAAAAAACGTTTGAATTAAATGGGAAATAACAGAAAGGTTTTAACAAATTCATTAATTCTATTTTATTAAATTTATTCATCGCTTTCTATGTCTTGTGGCCTTTTCGAAAGCGAAATTTATGATCCAAGCGTGTAAAGACAGGTACCCGCCATAAGCGTGGAATGAGAAAAGCGAATTATCTTTGAAGGAAATTAAATTTTATGATGTTGTAAACCTAAACAATTTCCTTTATGCGCTTTATTGTAAATTTAAAATGTTCAAGAGAAATCTTTTTTATATAACAAAAATAAAATGACATACTTAGATTTTCTTTTCAATAGTACAAGATAAATCAGAAGCGTTACACGATTACGTAACGTGGTGAATTGCGAAAGCTTGTACCGTTCGTGAGTTACGAGCAAATAACTTTCTTCTTTGTATGGATATCAAAAGATTTAAATTGGCTCATTGAATTTTCTAACAATGCTAAGATGTAACTAAATTAAATTACCTGCTAAAACCATGTCTAAATAATTTAATTCCGAAATAAAATCGTAATTTATCTCCCCATTGTGTTTCTCGAGAGTTTCAAAAACTTCCTTTCTGGCTTTTTCTTGGATATCTTCGTTTAGGGCTAATTCGAAAACTGCGAAACCCATCGAGGTTGAGGTTGTTTCAAAACCAGCCAAGAAAAATATAAATCCTTGTGCTAAAGCTTCGTTTAACGTTATTTTTTGGTCGTTTAATTCATTTGATTCTAAATTTTGGCCGTTTTTTAGCATAATTAAGATTTGTAGGAAATCTTTACGCATCACGTTATTATTTTCTCGATAACTAATCGTTTCTTCTAAGACTTTTTTAAAAAATTTCGAAACTTCTTTGGGAAAAACGCTTAATCGTAAAACTTTAGCAACTTTGTCCGATGCGCAAATAATCATATTTCGAATCAAATCCCATTTCGTTTGTAGAAAAGCCCGATTCCCCATCACCCTAAACTCAGCTTCCGGATTTCTCAAACTATTACATTCAATTCCAAAAGCTGTGTTTCCAATTACATCGGTTGTGTATCTCGCTAAGATATCTTTAATTTCGACTTCTCGGTTAATTTGAGTCATTTCGCTCAAAACATCGATCATTTCTTTCGCGTTTTTTTGGATCAAATCAAACATGAATTTGATTTTTCCCGTTGTAAAAGCTGGAGTTAATTTAGACCGCAATGTTTTCCATTTATCGCCGTATAAAGAAAATAAATGAGCCGATACTGGATCGTTTTCTTCGTCGTAGAATATTCCTCTATCATCGAAGTGATGGAAATCTTTTAGGAATATGTTTTTTATTAAATCCAAGCTGATGGGAACGAAAACTGGATGAACGAAGAAGTAGACTGCTGTTATTGGGTAACCAGACGGCTTTATTAATCTGTAAATAAATAAATTAAAATTAATTAAAAGAAAATTGAATCAAAATAAAAATAAATCAAACAATTAGGAACTTGGTTTCCTTTTTATTTGTTAAAGATAAATATAGAGAGAAGTGAAAGTGTTTATTTTTATGGTACTTAAGTATGAGGATGTTTTTTTTTTTGGCGTGGTAATGAAGGTCGTCTTTTATTGGATAGTTTTATGATGATTTTAATGATTCAATTATGTTCAAAGTAGAGAAATCAAGGTTATGTTTTGTTGCGCACCTATAATCTTAAATAAATACAATTATATTTATCTTTGTTCAATATTTTTTTTATTAAATAAGTTTATTAATTAACTCTTAAAAACTATAGAAGCATAAATGATATCAAAACAGCATTGTTGGAGCTCTCAATAATCACTGCAAATAAAGAATAACTCGAAAATTGCCACAGCAACGAACAAGTTAGAGTTGCAGTTAAAAATTAATAAATCTAACTTACATTTTAAGTTGATAGATGTCGGTATACTTTTTTTAATTAGATAAGTTTATTATCATTAAAAAATCTTTATTTGAATCAATTTTACCTAATCTTATAAATCAATTCAAAATTATTTAATAAAATTTAATTACTTACTTTGAGGTTATGTCCTCCAAAAACTTAGAAGACGTTTAAAGTTCTTTTTAAGTTTCCACCCATCGAAAAGTTTACGCGATACTTAATTTAACATATTCGTAATCGATTTAAAAGTGATTTAGGTTTCTCCAAGAAATTATAAATTAAATATTTTCGATTAAAATTTTAAATCAACGATTTTAAAACTGTCAATCACTAAATCACAACAAACTCCAAAATAAAGTGAAGTTAGTTACTGATAACTAATAATGTGTTGAGTTAATTTTTAATTTATTTCTAAATTGAGATTATTTACTTAAACAGTTTATTTTAGTTGCAAATGAATCAAATTTATTTGTTTTTACAAATAAATTTATGTAAAATCAACTAAGAATTCATAAATAAAATCTAACTTCATTATCGAATTAACTTACATTTTAAGTTGATAGATGGCGGCATATTTTTTTTAATTAGATAAATTTATTATCATTAAAAAATCTTTATTTGAATCAATTTTACCTAATCTTATAAATCAATTCAAAATTATTTAATAAAATTTAATTACTTACTTTGAGGTTATGTCCTCCAAAAGCTTAGAAATCGTTTAAAGTTCTTTTTTGTGTTTCCACCCATCTAAAAGTTTACGCGATACTTAACTTAGCATATTCGTAATCGATTTAAAAGTGATTTAAGTTTCTCTAAGGAATTATAAATTAAATATTTTCGATTAAAATTTAAATCTCAACGATTTTAAAACTGTCAACCACTAAATCACAACAAACTCCAAAACAAAGTGAAGTTAGTTACTGATAACTAATAATGTGTTGAGTTTAATTTTTAATTTATTTCTTAATTAAAATTAATTACTTAAACAGCTCATTTTAGTTGTAAATGAATCAAATTTATTTATTTTTACAAATAAATTTATGTAAAATCAACTAAGAATTCATAAACAAGATCTAACTTCATTATCGAATTAACTTACATTTTAAATTGATAGATGGCGGCATACTTTTTTTAATTAGATAAGTTTATTATCATTAAAAAATCTTTATTTGAATCAATTTGACCTAATCATATAAATCAATTCAAAATTATTTAATAAAATTTAATTACTTACTTTGAGGTTATGTCCTCCAAAAACTTAGAAGACGTTTAAAGTTCTTTTTAAGTTTCCACCCATCGAAAAGTTTACGCGATACTTAATTTAACATATTCGTAATCGATTTAAAAGTGATTTAGGTTTCTCCAAGAAATTATAAATTAAATATTTTCGATTAAAATTTTAAATCAACGATTTTAAAACTGTCAATCACTAAATCACAACAAACTCCAAAATAAAGTGAAGTTAGTTACTGATAACTAATAATGTGTTGAGTTAATTTTTAATTTATTTCTAAATTGAGATTATTTACTTAAACAGTTTATTTTAGTTGCAAATGAATCAAATTTATTTGTTTTTACAAATAAATTTATGTAAAATCAACTAAGAATTCATAAATAAAATCTAACTTCATTATCGAATTAACTTACATTTTAAGTTGATAGATGGCGGCATATTTTTTTTAATTAGATAAATTTATTATCATTAAAAAATCTTTATTTGAATCAATTTTACCTAATCTTATAAATCAATTCAAAATTATTTAATAAAATTTAATTACTTACTTTGAGGTTATGTCCTCCAAAAACTTAGAAACGTTTAAAGTTTTTTTTGAGTTTCCACCCATCGAAAAGTTTACGCGATACTTAATTTAACATATTCGTAATCGATTTAAAAGTGATTTCGGTTTCTCTAAGGAATTATAAATTAAATATTTTCGATTAAAATTTTAAATCAACGATTTTAAAACTGTCAACCACTAAATCACAACAAACTCCAAAACAAAGTGAAGTTAGTTGATAATTAATAATGTAATTTTAAATTTATTTTTAAATTGAGATTATTTACTTAAACGGTTTATTTTAATAGCAAATGAATCAAATTTATTTATTTTTATAAATAAATTTATGTGTTAATTAATAAATAAGATCATAAAATCGAATTAAGTTAGATTTTAAGTTAATAGATGGCGGTATTTTTTTATCAGATGCGATTATTAATTAATGATTAACAATCTTTATTTAAGTTTACGCGACACTTAATTTAGCACCTAGTACCTAAATCATTTAGAAGGTTTCTCTAATAAATTATAAATTAATTATTTTCAAATCACTAAAAAACAATAAAATGAAGTGAAGTTAGTTACTTATAATTAATGTTTAATTTGAATTAAATATGTTAATTAAGCAAATAAATTAAATTTACGCGTTGATTTAAACACATATAGGTTTAGGACAACTTTTAAAGTAGTTTCTTTTAAATATAGACTTAAATTTACGTAAACATTATGAAAATTACTACTTTTGACAAGTCCCAGATAGTATAGTGGTCAGTATCCCCGCCTGTCACGCGGGAGACCGGGGTTCGATTCCCCGTCTGGGAGATTTTTTTTTTTTAATTTCGTCTATAAATTAAGTTTTTTAACAATTAAACCCTCAAAAAAGTTTTAATTCAATCATCAACTATAATTATAACCATACTTAATAATAATAATCGATCTAAATTGATTAAAAATTTACCTATAAGTTTCGGCAACTTTATCACTAATACTTTGTTGTCTAAACACCACAGGCTTAATATTTCCAAATAGAAAACTCGTAGGAACGGTTGGAACCCCGATTTTTTTGCAATAATCGAACGCATTTTTAAAATAAAAATACAAACACGCAATTAATAAAAAAATAATAGTTAAAATTAATTCGAAATTCATTGTAAATCGAGTACTGTTCTTTGCGGCGGTCCGTATTGGACTGAAAGAATGAGAAAACCACCTGTTTTATTAAAACGTTTTCTCCACTTCCTTCTCAAGATTAAACACACTTCGTATCTATACTTTTAGGGAGTGGAAATGAATTAATTTTAATCTTATTGAGTGATTTAGTTCCCAAAAAAAGCTTTCACTTTTTTTTTGTTCCGCAAAATAGCATGAATATGATCCTAATAAAGAAAAATGTAATCATTTCTTCATCGCTAATAAGAAGTTATGTGTGTGAAGGTTATTTTAACGTTGCAAAATACAGAATAGAGATGATCGTCTTATTTGTACCGGGTATAACAAGATAATTACATTTAGATTTGTTGTTAAATAAATTCTAAGACATTTTTTTAAATTGTTTTAGGGTACTATTGAATTAAGGAATGAAATAGAAAGGCTACAAAATGCCACGGCGAATTTACATAAAGCTAATTTAAGATTGGAAGCGGAAAACTTAGAATTTAAATTGGATTTGGGAAAAACGAACAAAGAAGTTCCCCATTTAAAAGAACAAATCCAATATTTGGAAAAGTTGTTTTATTTAAAACATTTTTTTTTGTTTTAAATTAATTTATATTAAATTTTAGCTACATAGAAGTTCTCAAACAAGAAAAAAATCCCCCAGAAACTGTTAACGAAGAACACAAAAAACAATCTGAATTAGAAAGAACCGTTTTTGTGCTAAAAAGAATCGTTGAAAAACTTCAAGTTGAAAACAAACGGCTTCAAAATTCATCGAAACCCGTTAATGAAAAAATAAACGTTTCTGACGAAACTTTACGAAGGAACTTTTATAAACTCAAAGATCAATACGGTGACAGTATACAAAAAATTTCCCGTTTAGAAGAAGAATTAAACTTGGCGAATAACAAATTAAAACAAATCAAAGTAATCGGGAAATCCCCCGATTTAGAAGAAGAAAATGCCCGGCTCAAAAATGAATTGGAACAAAAAATTGAATTATTAGATAAAGTTAAGATACTTTTACATCGGGCTGCGAGTAAAGAAAAAGCGTTACTTGATGAGGCAAATTAAAATTGAATTGTATTTAAAACAAGATAAATTGATTCTTTTTTTTTTAGGTTGCAAGATTAAAAGCGATTATTCCTTGTAGCTCAACATCCGTTTCGAGCGCTTAAAAACATATTTTTAAGATTCAAATATTTTATAGTTAAGATTTTTTGATATTTAATGTAATTTATATGTATTTATTTATGAAAGCACAAATAAATTAAATGACATTAATATCTCTTGATCTGTCTAAAACTATTAAGTGTATGGAACAAAGTGAAATGAAATTAATTTAAATCGCCTATTGCTTAAAAATTTCATATTTATCAGTTACAGTATTCTGGTCTTTTACTAAAATGAAAATTAGGAGGAAATTTGGAGAATGAAAATTAATTAAGCGCCATCTCTTGATTTTTTTTTAATAATTTTAATTGTCAATTTGTAAGTTTTAATTAAAATAGAATTAAAATAATAAAAAATAAATAGAAATTAAATCTGATTATCTTAAAGGTAATATTGTATAATACAATAAATATAAATAAATATAAAAAGAGATATAAATAAATAAGGAGAATGACAATTAATTAAGCGCCATCTCTTGATTTTCTTTTTAATAATTTTAATTGTCAATTCGTAAGTTTTAATTAAAGTAGAATTAAAATAATAAAAAATAAATAGAAATTAAATCTGATTATCTTAAAGGTAATAGTGTTTAATACAATAAATATAAATAATTATAAAAACAAATATGAATATATGAAGAGAATGAAAATGTTACTGTAAAACTAACATTTTTTTTAGCCGTCTTGAGAGACGTGCGGCTAAACCCGAATGATTCTAGTTCTAGGTCTAGTTTTAGTTGTTATTCAGCGTTAAATTGTTGTATATTTCTCGTTAACATGTTATTTTTAATACATATTTCAATATAAAATTACAGATTTCTGTTCATGTTGAGTAATTAGAAAATTTCTAATAATTAAAATGATTCTAATTCTAGTATTAGTCCTAATATTAGTATTAATTCTACTTTTAGTTATCATTCAGCGTTAGATTGTTGAATATTTCTCGTTAACATATTATTTTTAATATTTCAATTTAAAATTACAGATTTCTGTATTTTGTGTAATAAGAAAGTTTCTAGAAAGAATGATTTTAGTTCTAATATTAGTATTAGTTCTAGTTCTTATTCACCGTTAGATTGTTGTACATTTCTAGTTAACATGTTATTCTTAACACAAGGTTTTTAATTCCAATATAAAATTACAGATTTCTTTCTGTTCATGTTGTGTAATAAGATGGTTATAATCGCTTCTTTAGAATGTTTTAAAAATCATATAAAACGCATATTAATTTATTTAGTTTATTTCGATTTAATTCTTTAAACACATAAGTTGAGCTGATAAGTCCAACAAATATTTATTCAAGACGTTTTAAAAACTAAATTACACTACATAACATTGAAATCGATTTTCACATTCAAAGTATTTACAGATCCTTAGCTATTAAAGCACGAAAAAGCAATAAATAATAAACCAAACTAATTGCTTATAAAATAAGTGGTTCTAAACGAGGTTATAAAGCGATTCCGATAAAGAATCCCCCCAAAAATCCTCCAGCAAAACAAGTATTCTTTACAAGAAACTTTTTAACTTCATCAACCCAAGTGGGACGTTGATTAACATTATTTTCAACAGCTCTTGAAGTTTTAGCCGCTTTCTTTTTAATCCTATCCCAATCGATTTTTACATAACCTTGAGTTTGAGCGATTTGCAACAATAAGATTCCTCCCCCAATTGCAAAAGCCGCGGTTCTTCCTATTTTCATTGTAATGAATCCCGTGGTTCTAAAACAATCAATTTTTAGTATTTTTATTTATTAATTTAACCTCAAAAAAAATTATTACAATCCGGATCCAGTTCCGACCAATAATTGTTTGGTATTCGAACTTTTACTTATACTTCTCATTAATTGTTGCAAAACATTCTTCGCATCGTCTTTAAATTCGTCGTAATCTTCAATATGCGGCATGATTTAATGAATTAATTGATTCTAACCCTATTTTTTGAAGTGTCAAAATAATTTTAAGCTTAAATAAGTTGCGAATTCTAAAATTTACCTGGTTTTGATGTTTTATAAACACTGTTGTGTAGTTTTTATGATTTTAATTTTAATACGCACTATTGAATGCGGAACAAAGATTATTATGACTTTTTGTTGTTGACAAAATAAAGCACTTTTTGCACGCTATGATAAAAAGGTAATGAAATTGACATTGAACGACCGTCGCGGAAATTGCCGTTAATATCGATTATATGAAGTGATTTAATTAAATAAATTCTTATGGAAAAGAAATATTGCGTTGGGTTATGTTGCGAAATAATTAAATTTTTATTTTGACATCTAACGATTAGATTATGAAGTGTAAGGTTACGGGATTTTGGTATAGATGGCGCTAATAAATTAAAGTGATACCAAAATAATTAATTTAATTTTATAAATTGATAAAAATACACATCATACTAAGGACAATTACTTATTACAACCTAGCAACATGGAAATTTCATGTACTTTACATAATTAATTTTTTAGTTATACAAAAAGAATAATAAGTTTAAAAATTCAAAAAAGTCCAACAATCCCATTATCGTGTCCTTTATCGTTTTTTCTTTTCATTGTATTTCGTAAAATTCATTTCCTTTTGTACTTTAAAAAGAAAAAATATAACAATTTCAAAACTTGCACATAATCATTTAAAATTAATTAAAAAATATTAATTTTTTTCTTAAATTTCTATCTACGAAACCTTCCACCTTTTAAAAACGCCAACGTCTTTTGCATTAACGGAGCTTTTTTAGGTTTAACCGCCCCCGAACTATTATTACTCGACGCTCTAACAGGATTTGGAACGGAAACTTGGGCATTTGAACTTCCAGCTGCAATCGCATTTAATCTCGATTGTGGCGTAATCAACGGTTTCTTATCAATCCCATTCTTAGCTTGTTTCCGAATAACATCCCGCGGTGGTTTTACAAAACTATCAATGTACGCCAATTTAGTTTGTCGAACTGGAGTTGATTTTTCTTGTGCCACCTTTATATTTTCAGTTAAAGCTTTCAATTTCGCCTCGCGCTCATCTAAACAACGCATATACATTTCACGCCACGATTCCAATTCTTCCCTACGCTTATTTTTAAAATCTTTCGAACAATGAAATTGCCACAATTCGTCAGTATCTTCGATTAAATAAGGATTGTAATGTTCCATTGTGTAAAGTTGTTGAGGTGACGCTTTATCTAATACTGGTTTTAAAATTGCGTAAGGAACTCCTCCAGTGTATTCTAAAGCTGTATTAAAAACGATTTTATAAAGAATAAATTGGGATAAATTGTTTCTCACCATCTATATTATCCTGTAAGACTCTTATACACAATTCGAATAAGCTTGGAATTGAGTTAAAAAACATTTTATTACCGGAATAAACTTTAGTTCTAAAAAAGATTGTTTAGTTTTTTTATTGAAATGTGGGGTTAATTTATAGTGTCCGACCGAAATTTCAATTTCGGCCTAAAATAGGAATTTCGGTCAAGCTTTTAAACAATTTAAAAAGTGAAAAATATTTTAGAAAGTTTGTTAATGCCAAAAACATATGACAAAGTAAAGACCAAGGTCATGAATTTGGTTGATAAATATACATGGATAAGTGCCACTACACATATATGGTTAAATTCAAGTAAAACCTGCTCTTTATTAAGCTTTACAGGACATTTTATTATAGGTTCACAAAGATTGAATATGGTATTGGGCGGAACGGTATTAAATTAGGACCTTGCTTATATTGAACAAAAAATAACTGAAATGGTGAACGACTGGAATATCAGAAAGAAGCTGTTCATAATTATACATGGTAATGCAGCCAATATGGTAAGTGTGGTACATACTCTGAAATTAGTCATAAAAGATGTTTTGTTTGAAAATGAGCGGAACAAAATTTTAGTACATAACTGTAGAAAAATTGTAGGCAATCTTCAGAGTGGACTTCTGATTCATTGTTTGCTGTAAAACATAGAAATCAGGTGGAATAGCACCTACTTAATGCTGCAGCGTCTTGTAGAGCAAAAAAGGGCAATAAATTTCTATGCCATTAAGCATGGAGGTATACCTACACTCTCCTGTACTGACTGGAAACATATTGAAAATTTAATAAATGTGCTAAAATATTTTTATGAGGCTACAACACTCGACATATCCTCTGATAGTGCCCGTATTTCGATTATTATACCATTATTAGCTGTATTAAACAATAAACTACAACTTCAAAACGAAAAGGAAAATGAATTACTGAAGTAAAAAGAACAACTACGTTACTCGACCCAAGATTTAAAACCAAATACAGTAAAGACCGGTTATAACGAGTATGCTTTATAACGAGCACCTGCTCTATAACGAGCAAGCTTCCAAGTCCCGTGAAAAATCCTATCCTTACAATGTAAAAAATCTCGGTTATAACGCGTGCTCGGTTATAACGAGAGTTCGGTTATAACGAGAGCTCGGTTGTAGTTTTGCGTGTTTTGTACCGTTTATAACGAGCGAATGACGTAAAAATCTGGTGACGTCGCGACGCGCCATTTAGGCACCATGTACAGGCAGCATCGGCAGTTCAGTTTATCGCTAGATTTACGTGAACTTGTATCTATACATCGTTACAAAAATCGTCATATTAACAACTTAGAATGCGTACTTGCGTACTTTTCGCCAAATTCAACTTCCGTCTTACAACCGATGGACCAAGGCATAATTAAATCAATGAAAACGTTTTACCGACAAAAGTTATTGTTCAAGTTAGTAGAAGCTATGGATCTGAATGAAAAATTAAAAATTGATATTTTAGATGCCATAATAATGCTAAACAGCGCATGGATAAATGTTAAAAAAGAAACAATAATGAATTGCTTTCGTCATGCATTCGGAAATCTTGCAGAGAGTTTTAGCGAGGAAGATGAAATTCCCTTAGCTCAATTAATTACGCGTATCTCTGTGGAAGAAAATCTTTCTAGTTGGGCAGAGAAAAACGGTTTGAAAATAGACAGTATCGATTTAAATTTATTTGCCACTATGGATGACGATGTTACTACTGGTTCCATTCTATCTGACACTGAAATAATGTCTAACGTATTGAATAAAGATAATGAATCTGACGGTGAATCAGATGAAGAGGTAGAACGAAACATATCAAAAAATGAATTTTTAGAAGCATTTTCTAGGGTGACATGTATATTCGCATGCGATACAATAAACAAAAATATTCGCCAGGAATTATTAAATATAATTATAAAAGCATAAAACAGAAAAACATCCGAGAATATTTCAATAAAAATTAATTTTAGATGTATAATAGTATAGATGTTTAGTTAATTAGTTTTAGTCTATTTGGTATCTGTCTTAAACAATAAAGTTATGAAAAATGACAAAAACATGATAATGTATTTTTTTGTTTTTACCTTTTCAATCGTATACTTTTAAAGCAAACAAAATTTCTCATAGTGATTAATTTCTGATAGTAAATAAACAAAAATTTCATTGTAAAAGTGCAAAAACAAAAAGATTTTTTTAATTCGTTTTTAAAATTGCTGGTTACTACTGTTTGCACAAGTATTAAAATTTATGTTACATATTACGACAACCTTGGTTATAACGAGGTACCGTCTACAGCGAGCAATTTTTTCGGTCCCTTGACTGCTCGTTATAACCGGTCTTCACTGTACCTGACTTCTGCAAATGTAGATATTGTCATGAGTGAAATGAGAAACTTTTTGAAACAGATAAAAAAAAACACCGAATGAAGAGAACACCCAGGAAAAGAAGTTTATGGGAAACTCATGACAACTCAACAGAAGATTGTAAAAATACAGTGTAATCACCACAAGATATACTGGAGAAAATCCATAATCTTTTTGAACCAAGACTTCAGCGGAATGCCGATATAGAAGGTGTTCCGGTGGCTCAGGGCATAAAATTAACCTCGTATGCTAGAGCAAAAATGATGACGATTCGTGATAAAAAAATTATAAAAGTCTTCAAATGGAAATTTTAACACATTTTTCTAAATATTTTCAATTACATTTATGGTAGAGCGTTGAAATTTGGTACAGGGTAAACAAACATCAAGCAAAATCATTGAACCAATTTTGATTTTGATCGGGCGGCGGCAACCATGCTATACAGGTGTCCCTAAAATTTGTTTGCTCAGAACTTTTTTGTTCGCTCGTAACCCTACATTTATTTTTGTACTTTTTAATAGAAAATTTATTTTATAAACTTTTATCACTCTTTGAAAATTTTGATAACATTAACCGGTTTCGAGTTATACGCGAAAATGTTAAGCTTTCAGAAATACTTGGACAGCCTGTGTGCTATGTGCAGGAGCACCACCATGCATATACTACATTGTTTGCCTTGTGTTTAAAGGAACGTCATCTAAAAAATCATCTAATTCCTCTAAATGTCGCCTGTATGTATGTCCATATAATTACATCGCCCACAATGCCAACCCAAACGTTAAGAAAAAAATCTCCATTGTGATTTCCAAGTTTTCTTAAATCTTGGAAAACATCTTTAAAAAAAGTGGATTCATCTGTAAAAAGCACTTTTTCTAAAAACTGATCATCAATTTGGATTTTGTGCTGCATTATTCGCCAATCGAACTTCCTGAACTTTGTAATAATCAAATGGATAAAGCTGTTGCTCGTGAAGAACACGCCAGACAATTGTTTTTGAAGTTAAAAATGCCTCGCCATATCCAAAGTACTAGCTGTAGTATTTTCTTCTATGTAGTCTAGAATTCGGGTGTTCGGACTGATCTTACGTTACCGTTGTTAGTAAATTTCGGCTTAAACGTCCCATTTTCCCTTAAACGGGTTTCAATCCTTAAAAATGTTTTTCGATTGGGAGCTCTGCGGTTCGGAAATTTCTCCAGACCATTCCCCTAATGTCAAAATCATGTCAGTTTGTTCACTAAATGTGTAACACTCCATTTTGAACACTTAAAATTAATAAAAACTTAATTAACAAAAAACTATCGTGTGTGTTTAAACAACATAAGCAAGTTGACAGCTCAATTTGTTTTTTTTTTAATTGCCATGGCCAACCTTGACTTTTTCCAAGATTTTTGTTTTTTAGTGTTACCATTCAAATCGAAGCTTAATATTTTCGCGTATAACTCGAAAACGGTCAATGTTATCAAAATTTTCAAAGAGTGATAAAAGTTTCTAAAATAAATTTTATATTAAAAAGTACAAAAATAAATGTAGGGTTACGAGCGAACAAAAAAGTTCTGAACAAACGAATTTTAGGGACACCTGTATAGGTTGCCGCCGCCCGATCAAAGTCAAAATTGATTCAATGATTTTGCTTGATATTTGTTTACCCTGTACCAAATTTTAACGCTTTACCATAAATGTTATTGAAAATAGTTAGAAAAATGTGTTAAAATTTCTGAGCTTTGACGACTTTTATAATAATTTTTTTTCACGAATCGTCATCATTTTTGGTCTAGTATATGAGGTTAATTTTATGCTCCGAGTCACCGGAACACTTTGTATATACTTTTGTTTACCTGTCACACTTTTGACAAATGTAATTAAGTCAAAAATAGTTAATAAATAATTAAAAATTGTCAATAAACTGTGCAATTGTCTCTCAATAACCATAAAATTGACATTTAATTTTGACAAATTGCTGTGAAGTTGATTACAGTTAGTAATATTGAATTTGTGTCACATTGACGTTTAAACTTTATTCAAAAATTTATTACAAAAATAAATTTATGGAATCAATTTCAATAGTCGTGGACAAAGTAGTTCGCTCGTGACATAAACTTAACCTTCGTGAATAATAGCCCTCATTATATACTCATATAATAATAATATACTATTTTACACGAACGTAGCGACAGCTTTAGCTGGAGCGATTTTATCTTTTGATTTTGATTGAGAGTTATTTCCAAAGGGTATCTCTTGTGTATTTACCCCCGATAAATTAATCGACTTCATTTTATGTTTTTAACAATTGTATAATATAAATTAAATATTTTTACTCTAGCAAAATTTGTGTTTTAACAGTGTCATATCGGATCTGATGTCATAATAGTATATTAAAAAACAAGTTTCGTAACACACGTTTGAAATGCACGAATTCAAGCTGAAAAACGAGGGGTGTAGCCACGAGTTTTTTAATGCTATTTTTTGTAATTCGCGTATTTACCCTTTTTTTTCTCAAAAATACAATACATTTTAGGGAAATAGGTATGTAGCAGTTGGTAACACCGTAGCACTTAAAAATAGAAATTTGAATTGACAATTAAAAACTGTCAAAACACAAAATGTATTCACCTGACAAAAATGTTTCATGTACACCTCCCAAAATAAGAGAAATGGCTCAGAGTTCAATATCCTCATCATTGTGGAACTTGTATTCGATGCTAAGAACGTGTTTAAACATCCATAGACAAACATTGTCAAATTGACAACTAGAAAAATTAATGACCCAATGTCACCAACTTGAACTGGTTCCATAAAATGTTACTAAAATCTCATTACAGCGTCGGATGGTGTAAGGAATCTCATTCAAGCACTCGTTTGAGTATTGTTATAGCTTTCATTACCGTCGCGAATTACAAAAAATTTATGACACGCGCCCACTCGTGTTATAAAATCGGGCGCGCCCACTCGAAGGTTAATAATTTTATTTTTTTCCGCTAAAACTATTATCTTTAAGGAAAAAACTAAAGAAACAAAAAAGTACCAACAATGAATAAGCTTTATAACCCATATTTTTTTAAGTTAATATTCCATGGCGTTAAAAATTGTTATAAAAAAATCAAAGGGGCTGTGAATTTCATCCCGTTAGAGGGCGCTAGGGAAGTTTAAGGTATGCTTAAACATAAAGTATTAACCAGTAGTACATATAAAATTTCAAACTCTACGATTTACTTGTACCCGAAATAAAAGATAAAATGTAAATTTTTGGCTCAATTTTGTCATCAACTTGCGTTATTTTGGCAAGTACAACGTCTTGGTAAAGTTTCCTGATTAAAAACTGAACCACCCTATTTTGTATTAATTCCTTCTTATCAAAAAAGTTTCAGTTTTTGGCTCAAAATTGAGTTTCGGTCGGACACATTAAATAATTTACCTTTGGTTTTTTTGCGACATAACTAAACTTAAAGCTTCGTCATCATTCAAAGCTTTCCCCCTCGCCAAATTTTGCATACTATCGTATAAAGGATTCGCTAACGGCCGATAATTTGGTGTTATCATAGGTAATAGACTTGATATGTTTATATCGACGTCGTTTTTAGGTGGTGGGGGCGGTACCTGAAAAAAATTGATTTAAAAAGTAATCAAAAATCATTAAAATAAATTAAATAAAAATTACCACCACTTCTATTTTAGAAGAAGAAGTAGAAACTTTTTTATCTCTTTCTTTACTTTTTTCTTGTTTACTACTTTCTCTATCTTTTTCCTTCTTTTTCTCTTTTTTATCTTCTTTATCTAAGGATTCTTTACGATAAGATTTTTCAGGAGTTTTTTCTCGTATACTTCGTTCCGGTTTTATTTTTTTATTACTATTAGTAATGATGGTACTCTTACTTGTGGATGGTTCTAACATTCCTAAAGCGTCCGCGAAACTCGTCCCAGATTCAGAACAAATCCCATTTTCATTACGATTCGATTTCGATTCTTTTTTAATTGAATGTTTCTTTTCATCTTTTCTTTCATCTTTTTTTTCATCTTTTCTTTCATCTTTCTTTTCATCTTTTTCCTTACTTTTCGATTTTTTATCATAACTCTCCCTCTTTGACTCCTTTTTTGACTCCTTCACCACCAATTGTGAAGAATTTAAAGATTGATTACTTTCTTTATGTTTACTTTCAGTACGTGACTTATCTTTAATCCTTTTACTTTCATTTACATTTTCATCTTCCTTACTATGATGACTTTTATGTTTTTTTGAATGACTTCTTTCATTGTCCACCTCATTTTTACGTTTATTTGATGAATTTGATTTAAATCTGTCTTTTTCTTTATTACTTTTAATTTTTTCTGGTGATCTACTTGGTGATTTATCTTTCTTATATTTGTATTCTTTCTCTTTTCGATCGTAATCTTTATATCTTTTATCCTTTGAACTTTTTTTATGGTGGTGGTGGTGACTTTTATATTTTTCTCTTGGTGGTGATTCACTTTTATGTCTTTTTACATTTTCATATCTATCTGAATCGTTTTCGTCTTCTTCATCGTCGTTTTCACTTTCCGAAGATTTCTCATCCGAACTTGTGTTTTCACTCTCCGAATCTGAATTATCCGATCTATTTTTCGATTTATCACTTTGTCTATGACTAGAATCGCTTTTACCATTAGGTTCTAAAAAATTAAAGATTTATTTAACACTAAAATCGAAAAATTTATTTTGACATATTCAAACTCCTCAAAATTGACAATCAATCATACCAACTTAACAAAACAAATTTTACCAAACCATTTTATTCTTATTATTTTTTCAAATTACTTCAATTCCTTATCATTAATTATTACTATTTTATAGGAAATACCATTTTTATTGGTATCATCACAGTCCTGATTTTGAGAGACCATTAATTTCCATTTATTAACCAACTCTCTGGATGCGTCCCCAACTTTTCCTTCCATTTTCCTCATTGCATTCACCGTCCTCCCAACTCCAGTCTCTTCCAAATGCCCCACCGTAATTGGTAAGTTGGAGAGTTTGAAGATGCAATGCAAAAGCTAATTTATTCGCAATTAAAATGAAAATCTCTAATTAACAATAATAATTACCTTGGCCGTATTGTCATCCTTAAGTCCTCTATTCAAGTTTCTCTGGTAATGTTCGATGGCTTCGATGAGTTTATCGTCGGACATCGTGTGAGGTTTTTATTCGATTTTCGGTGGTACCTTCAAGATTGTTCAATGAAAAACGTAAACATCTGCTCCACTATGGCACCGAATCCGACGAATTCGGAAACAATTTAACGTCTATTTCCGGTCATTTTTTTAGATTTTGTTGCACTTCGAACGTTCACAAATCGTCGATTAAAAATCTTAATAAAAACTCGAAAACGATGTTGTACATGTCATTTAATATTTCACTTTCTATATCTTATGTTGGTATTGCCCTTAAATGACTTAAATGTCAAACGAATTTATGTTGGCGTCACTTTTTCTTTGTATAAATATAATCTTTATTTCCCATAGCATTAAAATATAACATTTATTACCGAAATACACCGAATGAGTATGAATTAAATCTAATCAATTAAATCACCTTTCGATTTTTGTATCTAACTTCAGTGTTGTTTTGATTTTTGACGTAACACATCAAAATGACAGTTTATAACATTTATATTTTCGATAGAAATGGCACTTTGCTTTATTACCACGAATGGAATCGGTTTAAACAATCGGGGATGACTAAAGATGAAGAAGCAAAGTTAATGTACGGTATGTTATTTTCATTGAAATCGTTTGTGATGAAAATTTCCCCATTGGATGTGAAAGATGGTTTTCAATACTATAAAACGTCGAAATACACTTTGCATTATTTAGAAACACCATCCGGACTTAAATTTGTTATTAACACGGATAATGGGGCTCAAGGTGTTAAGGAGATACTCCAACAAATTTATAACCAAGTTTTTGTTGAGTATGTGGTCAAAAATCCTTTGGTGAAAATGAACGAACCGATTGAATCAGAATTATTTAAGAGCAAATTGGATGTTTTTGTAAAAAGTTCGCCGATTTATATATCAAAAAGTGCTTAGATTATAAATAAAGGTATAAGAATTGGGTTTAGTTAAATTGAATGAAATAAAACCATTTTTAAATTAATAAAGAATTCATTTCACCTTATTAATACAAATAAATAAAGGTATAAGAATTAGATTTACTTAAATGGAATGAAAAAATAAAACCATTTTTAAGTTAATAAAGAATTCATTTCACCTTATTAATATAATTAAATAATAAATATGCTTCAATAAAAAAATAGAGAGTACATTTAAATTTAATACTAAAAACATTAATTAATTAATTAAGAGTTATATTTTTTGAATTCTAACATAAAGTTAACTAATCCTTGAACATCACTATATAAAACTGCATTATACAAGGAAGCTCTTATCCCACCAACAGATCTATGCCCTTTTAATTGATGCATATTTAATTTTTGAGCTTCAGCCAAAAATTTCTCTTCCAAAGCTTCATTTCCTTCAGCTCCTCCAACTCTAAATGGAACGTTCATGCGGCTCCTACAATTTGCGTCAATTGGACAACTGTAGAAGCCGTTTGATTCTTTTATTGTGTTGTATAACAATTCGCTTTTTTTAGCTGCTTGGCGTTCCATTTCGGGGACTCCACCGTTCTTTTTAATCCATTCGAATACTAAATTCATCACGTAAACGCTAAAACAAATTAATTTATTAATCGACGTGTGGCTTAAAAATCGACGATTTTTTTTTAATCAATAATAATTCATATATCAATTTTGACATATTTGTAATCTTCATTAAAAATCCTTTAAAATGAGTACAAACACGACATATTTATCTTCAATGTTAATGAAGTTATGGTCAACTTCCGGTTAGAAATGTCAACCTCAATTTTGACATTTTTGCATTTTTATTTATTATTTATAATTGTGAAAAATCCTTTAAAATGAGCCCAAACAAAATACGTTTAATTCCAATATTACTCGAGATATAAGCAACTTCCGGTTTGAAATGTCAATGTCATTTTGATATATTCTTAAATTTTATAAAATTTGCAACAAAAACAAAAATATAATTAAAAAAAACTCAAATTAAGGTTGGTATTAATATTTAAAAATTAAATTGCTATCTTCATTGTTGCTAACTTCAGGTTTAATGTTTTTTATTCTAACTTTTTTGTTTTTTGAGATAAGTGCGTCATGTTTGGACTCATTTTAAAGGTTATTTTATAAAGATTACGAATATAATAATAAAATATAAATTAATATATAAATTATCAATGTTTAAATGTAAACTTAAATGTTTAAACTTATATAATATAAATTATAATTCTAGGTCTAGTGTTAGTTCTAATTTTAGTGTAATAAAAATATGCAACATAGTGATATCTTATGCTTTAGCTATTTTTGATTCCATTATCATCGTGATTTTGTGAAAAAAGGGATGGAAAACGATGAAAAGTAATTTTTATTTAGATCAGTGCTACAATGTTTCGAGGAAAACTTTACTCTTTTTCAGGCACAACTGAAAGGCACAAAATCGGAGATAAAACTTAAAATACAAATATAAAATCAAACAAAGTTTAAAAATTAAAATTACCGTCAAGTTATGAGATAACAAATGGCGAACGAAATACAAAAATGTTTTAATTTTTATCTCCGATTTTGTGCCTTTCAGCTGTGCCTGAAGAAGAGGAAAGTTTTCCTCGAAACATTGTAATTAGAATCATAGTAGGCGCCGAAATAACGCCGTTGACAGTTTTAAATGTCAAAAAAGTTACAGTTTCAACAATTATGAATAATTAATAATGTATGGTCATTGGCAACAGTCTTCGGCCATCAACTTTTTGGAAGGTTTTTAGCACTTCCGATGTTACAAATTTTTTTTAATATTTTGTATACTGTGGATTATGTAATTTGTGTAACTTCACTTTGAGTGCGTTTTCATTACCTGCACCGTACCCATATATTATTAATATTTGGATTCTTTGTCGTTCGCTTAATTGCGCCACATTTGTTTAAACTGTCAGTTTTTTGACATTTAAAGCTGTCAACGGCGCTATTTCGGCGCCTACTTTGATTGTAATTAGCTGATTTAAGACTTTCAAAAAACGCATTTTTTTTTCGATTTGTTCTTATACAACCATATGATTTGATATGTTCATCACATAGAGGGACTTATCCTCTATCAAAGTATGCAAAGAAAATATATGCATCCCATTTAAAATAACAATATTGGTTGCATAGCAACGAAACAAAGAACAATGTAAACAAGCAAGTATCGCCAAAAAATGCGCCACAATTAATAAAGAATTTTTTATTTGAAACATTTTTCTTTAAAACCACAAATGGCGAAGATATTGGCTATATTCCAGACATTTGACACACCCTGTATGATAACTAACTTCAGGTGTAAAATGTCAACCTCAATTTTGACATATTTGTAATCTTCATTAAAAATCCTTTAAAATGAGTACAAACACGACATATTTATCTTCAATATTAATGAAGTTATGGTCAACGTCCGGTTTGAAATGTCAATGTCATTTTGATATATTCTTAATTTTTATAAAATGTCTAACAAAAACAAAAATATAATTAAAAAAAACAAAAATTAAGGTTGGTATTAATATTTAAAAATTAAATTGTTGCTAACTTCGGGTTTAATGTTTTTTATTCTAACTTTTTTGTTTTTTGAGATAAGTACGTCATGTTTCGACTCATTTTAAAGGTTATTTTATAAAGATTACGAATATAATAATAAAATTAAAGTTGATATTAACGGTTGAAAATTTTTTTCTTAGTCGCGCGTCTAAACTCTTTCAAAAAACATCAAAATTAATATTTGTAATTCTAGGTCTAGTGTTAGTTCTAATTTTAGTGCAATAAAAATATGCAACATTTATCATCGTGATTTTATTAAAAAAGGGATGGAAAACGATGAAAAGTAATTTTTATTTGAATCAGTGCTACAATGTTTCGAGGAAAACGTTCCTCTTTTTCAGGTACAACTGAAAGGCACAAAATCGGAGATAAAACTTAAAATACAAATATAAAATCAAACAATGTTTAAAAAATAAAATTACCGTCAAGTTATGAGATAACAAATGGCGAATGAAATGCAAAAACGTTTTAATTTTTATCTCCGATTTTGTGCCTTCCAGCTGTGCCTGAAGAAGAGAAAAGCTTTCCTCGAAACATTGTATAACTGATTTAAATAAAAATTACTTTTTAGACCTAGAACTAACTAGAAACATTCAAGGTTAATGTTTTTTATTCTCTTTTTCGTGTTTTGAGATAAATGCATCATGTTTGAACACATCTTAAACGTTTCTTTAATAAAAAATGCATCATGAAAGAACACCATGAAGTTGTCCATTTGTCTATTATATGATAACTAACTTCAGGTTTAAAATGTCAACCTCAATTTTGACATATTTGTAATCTTCATTAAAAATCCTTTAAAATGAGTACAAACACGACATATTTATCTTCAATATTAATGAAGTTATGGTCAACTTCCGGTTAAGAATGTCAACGTCAATTTTGACATATTTGTAATCGTCGTGAAAAATCCTTTAAAATGAGTCCAAACATGATACGTTTAATTCCAATATTACTCGAGATATAAGCAACTTCCGGTTTGAAATGTCAATGTCATTTTGACATATTCTTAATTTTTATAAAATGTCTTAATATTTGTCACAAAAACAAAAATATAATAAAAAAAAATCAAAAATTAAGGTTAGTATTAATATTTAAAAATTAAATTGCTATCTTCATTGTTGCTAACTTCGGGTTTAATGTTTTTTATTCTAACTTTTTTGTTTTTTGAGATAAGTACGTCATGTTTGGACTCATTTTAAAGATTATTTTATAAAGATTACGAATATAATAATAAAATTAAAGTTGATCTTCAGCAAGTTATCTTCACTAAACTACCTATTGTTAGATAAAATTAACTTGAACTTACGAGAAAGTTGCTGGAGTATTATGAATGGAACTATTTTTGTCGATATTTGTAAAATCGAATACGGAGGGGCAAATTTTCATGGGATTCCCAATTAAATCGTCTCTAATAATAATAACGGTAACTCCAGCCGGGCCAATATTTTTTTGCGCCCCCGCTAAAATCACTCCAAACTTTGAAACGTCGAATTCTTTAGTCATAATACTTGATGACATATCTGAAACTAAGGGAACCCCGTTCGTTTCGGGGATATAATCGTATTCGACCCCATCGACGGTTTCATTTGCGCAATAATAAACGTACGATGCGTTCGGATCTAATTTCCAAGTGGATTGATCGGGGATTGAACCCGGTTTTTTAGCAACGGGAAAAACGTAGTTGACTTTTCCGTATTTTGCGGCTTCTTGGGCCGCTTTTGATGACCAAGTTCCTGTTACGCAATAATCGGCGGTTCCGGTACGATTCATTAAATTCATTGCTACGGCTGCAAATGCACCGGTTCCTCCACCTTGCATAAATAATATTTTATAGTTATCTGGAACCTTTCTGGAAAATAAAACGAAATAATAAGATTAAATAAATAACAATTTTATTTTTCAAGATTATTAATCATGGTGTGATTTCATTGGAACGCAAAATCGAATAATAGCTTTGTTTTTTGAACCAAAAGGTCGCGTGTTTTTAGATAATAAGATATTATTGAAAGTTATACAACCAAACATACAAAAAAAAAGGAAGTTCTTTCGCTTATCAACAGTTATCATTTTTAACACATTGACCTCTTTGGGTCAAATCTCCTTCGGGTTTGAATCACCGGTAATAACCGGTTCTTATTATATTACAAAAACGATAAGGAATTAAATCAAATTTGATAAAAACACTTACAATAATTCCCGAACCGATTTTTGCGCATCACTATTTATTTTCATGTATTCTTTTGATCGGTGGCTTATTTCCATCACACTCATCCCCATTCCATTAAAATTAAGAAGCTCCTTTTGAACATATTCTAAAACCTAGAAATAAATTGAACCAATCAAATTGCATGGCGTGATGCACATAATTACAATGCGTTTTTTTTTTTACTTACCTCTTGTGGTAATTTTGCTGGCCCAGCACCAAAATTTAACACCGTATTAGCACTCCCCATTTTATTCTTAATGTTTTAATTCGAAAATTAGCAAGAAAGTTAATGATTTTAAAAGGTCACTAAACTCAACACGTTCTCTTTAACACTGGTTGCAATTGAATTTTCTCAGCGAAACTGACCACTGCAGCCCGCTGAGCGCGCTTTTATATCAAATTCGAATCGAGAACAAAACTTTATTTACCAGTTTAGATTTAAACGTGTTGTTCGAGTAAAGTCTCGTGTTTCACAAGATTTTAATTTTGCAACGATTTCTTTTTCAAAATTGTCGTCGGTTTTAGTTTCATAATTTTAAAAACATTGATTTTTTGGAATTACGTTTCCAATCGCAAGACTAAACATTTTTTTTTACGTTTTAATCGAATGTTACAAAGGGTTATCAATTTGAACTGGATTTTACCAGTTCTAATTGTGCTATTGAAGATATCTTGGGTTCTAATTTCATTTTGATTAATTTTTTTTTATTGGGAACACGAGGAGGAGGTTTTGTTATCTTCCTTGTTTATTTAAAAACAAAACGAATTTTACCTCGTAAATAATAAATGTTAAATTTATATATTATTCTTCTTCGAATCATTTTTGCGTCAAATTGATACGATCTTTGTAAACAAATTGAAATTGGCGATGAATATTGCATAAGGTTCCTTAAACGTTGTTATGCGAGTGGAAAAATACGTCAACTTTTTCGGATTGATCTCTACGGGTGTGTTATCAGTTATCAGCTCATTTTCGTAGAGGAAAAAACCTCTCTCCTCCTATTTTAAAAACATATTTGTTATTTGTTACTAGGCGAGTTAACCTGATAGTATGCACTTTTAGTTGGCGATAAGAAATTCGGTGTCTCGTGATGCAAATAACACTGATAAGGGACCCCCACGGAGAATTTCGTTATTTATCGGGAAAAATTTTACGTTTTTAATGCAAAAAAATTCTGACAACCGAGATATTTTTCGCAAAAAGAAATTTTTGCACAAAGAAATATGCTTAAACACAGATGATATTAAAGTTTTTGAAAAAAAATCTGAATGCTACATTTACAGCTAATACTAATATAGTGTTCAAAAAGGCTACTATTAACTCAGAATATTCGAAGGAAAGTTTCTGTAAAAAGGCAAAAACATTAATAATAATAATAATAATAGTATACCTTGATGAAAAATGTCCTCAATTTGTGGTTCAGTGAGCGATCTAGCCCACATTTTCGCTGTCCGTTTCAAATTAATGTTTTGCTGATTCAAATTCTTTGATGTTAGAAATTCAATAAACTCATTGTATACCCTAGCCAAATAAAAAGTAAAGGGTTTTTGTGCTATTGATTTATTTGTTCGAATTGCAATGGCAAGCCCGTGAGATGCGCGAACTGCAAGATATCAGCATATCTGTACAATAACAATGGGATGGGAATGTTAAATCCCTTTGAGTTTTAACTGCCTTAATCACGACCGTCGTGACATACAACTGTTTTACTGTCATCAAACCAGATTCTTCAAACAACAGTACAGAAGGATAGATACGAGGTTTATGTAACATTACTTTCATAACAAGTTTTTGGGCTGTAATTACTTTTTGTAGGTGATGACCAGCGGACGAACCCCACGCAAGAATACCATACTGTAAGATAGGTTGAACAATTCCATAGTAAAATGTTTTAAGTGTTTTCAAATCACATACATCTCGCAGTCTTTTGAAGATGTAAACACTACGGCGAATCTTATTAACGATTTTTCCCACGTGAGCATCCCACCGCAAGTGGTTGTCAATTAAAACTCCCAGGTAAGTAGTATTTAGTACAGGTGTTATCTTTTTGCAAAAACATATGCCAATCACTTTTATGTATCGGGAAGCTCATACAGTTATTATTAGTATTTTTTCTAATGGTAAATTTAATAAAGTTTGTCTTTCCTTCATTCAATGTAAGTTTACTATCCTCCAGCCAACTATTTATCATTTTTAGATCTGCCACCGTCTTATCCTTAACATCAGTCCAGGAAGAACCTTCTACAAATAGAACCGTGTCGTCTGCATACGAAATCGACTGCCCTTTCAGGGATAAAGAAAGCAAGTCATTTATGAACAATATAAACAGAAGCGGACCCAATTGCGGCACACCTACATTCACTGAAACCATTGTACTGTAATCCTGCCCAATCTTAACACATTGCATTCTATCCTGCAAGTAGGATTTCAATAACTTCCAGGGAATACCTCTAACCCCATTTTTTTTTTTTTTTGCGCTGAGGAGGAGAAAATGCGTTACGCACCCCGGCCTACTGTTGGCGCTTGTAGATGGTGATGTGTTGGGAAATATTTCGGCCGGAAGTGTGGGACTCTAGTCCCTAAGTTACCCACTAAAAACTCCCCCTCTTTCCCCAGCTCCGGGACCACCCTTCTGGGTATTTCATCGGAGCATTTCGTGTGTTTGGGGATCCCCCATCCGTCTTCTGTGATTCTTCAGTACTTTAGTGGATCTACTGCACTTCAAATACAGGTACGTAGGCATCGAAGACTCCACGTCGGGTTAAGGTACGTATAACAAAATAAAAACATATGGTTACTTTTACGTTTGCATTTAAGACCGTTAACTTACAGGCATCGGAGGGGGTTCTTCGTCCCGTCGGGGATCCCCCCTCCGTCTTCAGCAGTTGGATCAACTTCAGGTCGGGTCCAGGTACGTATAAAGAATTAAAAATATGTGATTACTTCTAGGTTTGCATATAAAACCGTAAACTTACAGGTATCGGAGGGGGGCTCTTCGTCCCATCGGGGTTCCCCCCTCCGGCTTCAGCTGGTAGTTGTAGGGCGACATCCATTTCAAGTTTCTTCTGGGTGAGGACCTTCGTCAAAAAGGTAACGATTGATGTCCAAGTCGCTTCGTCATTAATCATTTTGTTGACTAGCGTGTCGGATGCTATAGAGCCTACATTTGCCGTCAACTCTTCCCTTTCGGTTTTCCATCTGTGGCAGTGGAACACTGTGTGTTCGGCGTCGTCTGTCAGCCCATCCGCATATGGGCAAGCAGGGCTATTTACTTTTCCGATGTTCCAGAGGTATTTACAAAAATATCCGTGCCCCGTTAGGATTTGGGTAATGTAGTAATTGACTTCGCCGTGCTTTCGATCACGCCAAATCTGAATACGCGGGATCAGTCGAGCCGTCCACCTGCCTCGGGTTTCCTCGTCCCATAGCTTCTGCCATTTATCACAGGTATGCATTCTAGCCTGCTTACGCGCTTGTATCGGTTCCACTGCGTCTTTTGTCTCATATACCTCCTTTCTTTCCGCAGCTAGTAGGTCAAGGGGGGGTATGCCAGCGATTACAAGCACCGCAGGTCCTGACACTGTTCTATACGCAGATGTAATCCGCAGGGCACTTCTTCTTTGGACTGATATGAGACGTTTGCGGCTATCCTGCCTGAGATCATCGGTCCAGATCTCGCAGCCGTATAACATTATGGCATTTGAGACCTCCATAAGTAGTC